AAAAAAAAAAAAAAAAAAGAACCCCAACGATGTTTAGCAAATCTTATGCATGAAAACATAATTAATTTTTCAATGACTATTACTCATTATCTACAAATTGGCTTAAATTGAAAATTTGATCGTAAATTTATTAGATATATTTTCAACAATATCTTATATTAATTTAATTGTAATTTATTGACACAATTCAAAAATTATTATGGAAATTGATTTTTATTAAATATATTATCATCTATGGTTGTAGGTATTAATTTAATTAATATATTCACTACTCAGAAGTACTTAAAATATTTAATAAAATAATCAGAATAACTATGTTTAAATCATACTAACTTAATAAATAATTTAAAATATTAATAAAATTTTCTGAAATGTAATCAATTTATCTATGAAATGATACATCTCCATTGAATATATCACATGCAGCGATAATACTATTAAAAATTTAAATAATATACTAATAATAAATAAAATTGATAAAACTTCTCCTTAGAAGTATCTACGTACATAAAGAAATTATTCAATTTTTAAAAATATATATCTTTACGTATATACTATTGTATAAATGAAAATAAGTTAATAAGAAAAGCAATGTATAATAATTTAAATTATAACACTTGCTAATTATAGAAATATGTAATATATCTATATAGTCAAATAGATACTGTGTAACACATTATATAGGTAGAAAATATGAATTAAAGAAAAAAAATATAATAAAAATGAAAATATAAAAATAAAAATGTTTAACCATAAAAAATTTGTATGCTGCATAAGGATTAAATTTACTAAAAATCAAATTTTTTTATCCAAAGATTTTAACATTTAATGCACATAATAATTATAGGTGGAAGATAAATATTATGAGTTAAACGTTGGTCAATTATCAAGCAATGTGTAAATTATGAATTGTTAAAAAATTATAAACTTATGATAAACGACAATTTTATAACTACATACAAATAATTTGTACACAAATCTCATATGATCTTATACATTTATAATTTTTATAAACTTATAAATAATAAAATTTATATATTAAATAGTCAAAAACTGTAAATATATATATATATATATATATATATATATATTAACATTAATAGTAAATAAATAAATGTCATATTATTACTAATAGAATATTGTGGAGAATATAATTTCATATTGTCCTAAATAATTTTATAATATTTTTATATAAATATTTTTTTTGTATTAAATCCCGTGCATCGCACGGGTATGTATAAGGTAAACAAGTTTCAAATAGATTTTGGATTGATAGTATTTTAATCAAGTACCATTATAAAAACTTGATCAAAATTAACAAACAAATATTACAAAAACTCGTATAAAATCCACTCCCCCTAGTTGATAGCTTGTTTGCTCTATAATTAAGCAAAAATGTGCTACTTAATGGAAACTCATAATTTATGTTATTGAGAAAACAAGCTAAAACTTCCTATATAATATTTGAATAATTCTCATATATCATTTACAAACTTTTATGTGCTGATATCAATATCATTAACAATAAAATAATTACACCTTGCACTAACCAGCTTGTTAATTGGGATTTCATATAACCTGAATCCTTGGTTTGGATTTTACAGTTGACTGATAATGGTCATTGTAAATTATTCACCAACTATTTTTTATCGAAGCAAAATTTTTTGTTTACCACAAGAATTTAAATTAATTGCGGATGCACAAAGGGATAGAAGGAAAAGAAAAAAAAAAAAAAAAGGGAAAAGAAAATAAAAGGGATAAAATATTGTATCTAAAAATACAAAATTTCACACATTTGCTTAATATTTTTAATTGAGTTTAAAGTGGAAATAAATGTTTTATAGATCGTATAGGTGTAATTATCTCAATGTTGGACCCAATTTTCATGTGTTGGGATGATAGTTTTATCGGGCCCTATTTAGTTTTATCGGGCCCTATTTAGCGTCCGGATTGTTTTTGTCCCAACCGTTTTCCAAGCCAAAATGAGTAATGACTGACGAGCACCTCAAATACCAAGAAGTTTTTACATGTTCCCAAAAATTGTGAAGTCTTCCTCAAACCCTAGATTGATGGCGTCTCGAAGGTGGTAAGTATTTTCACTTCACTTCTCTGTTAACAATTTCGACTTCCTTACCATATTCTTGGAAAGTGTACTTGGTTTATGCTACAGTAAGCCTTTGCTACAGAGGAGTGTTAAAGAATCTTGTTTGGATGCTTGTCATTTATATTAAATTTTTCTGTTGCCTTGAAAATCAGTTGTTCGCCAAGATTTTCTGTTGTTGGGAATCGGTTGTTGACCCCATTTTAAATGTTTTAGCAACTTCTGCCTTGGGAAATTAGCTTATACAGAATGGGGGATTTCCCCTGTGATTTTCCCTAATTTTCATATTTTAAAGTTTAGGATTATTATGTGCACACCCTCTTAAATCACACGTGGTTTTTGGTTTGAATCACTGAATATTATCAGGGTTTGTAGCAAAAAATCCTGTTTGTGCAAAATCCGATCGATTTTTGATGGAGAGAATAAGTAAAATGATGAAAAGAGTTGTAAGCTTTCAAATAGTGTTCTCTTCTCATGGAGTTGGAGGTCAGGTGAGGTTCATTAGGCATGTTAACTCTACGGTTACCCTTACAAGCTAACCATGCAATTTAAACGGCCTACTGTGAAAATTTGTTAAAAAATGATGGAGCCTTTCGGATCTTCGTGAAGTTGCTTGTCAGATGTCTCGAGTGCTTTTTCCCACTTTTGTACTCTAATATGCTTGATTTCTCAAAATACACACCATTTTCATATTCTGAATCACTCATGGTTTTGGTTTGAAGCAATTGAACATCATTGGGTAAGAGAAACAAGACAACAAATGAGTGGAAAGAGTCGTGAGCTTTCAATTGATAGGCTCAGCAGCTTGCCAGACGAAGTCATTTGCCACATTCTCTCCTTCCTCCCGACAAAGCTCTCTGTATCAACATGTGTTCTCGCGAAAAGATGGAGGTTTTTGTGGGCCCACGTCCCCGTTTGGGATTTCGAAGGAGAATTTTTCAGAAACAGAACTAATTCAGACTTGATCTACAGGGTTATTCTGTGGCACAAAGCGAAAACATTGCATGCTCTTCGGCTTAGAAGTATACAGTGCAGATCATCACCGCCATTGACCGTAAAATAAGGAATCTTTATCTCGATTTTGACGTTCCAAATATTATTAAGTTGTGCAGACCTCTATTCAACTGCAAAACTGTTGTTGACATGAGGCTCGGTAACTGCAAAGGCTTCTCTTCGACTGGGGACATATGTTTGCCTAGCCTCAAGAAACTTCATCTTTCTAAAGTTGAATATGAGGATGATGAAGCCCTTTCTCACTTCCTTGCTGGCTGTCCTTTGCTCAAGGAGTTGATCCTGGATTGTGATGTTCCAGATATTGATGGAAAAACCCTTCATATATCATCATCGACGATAGAAATGCTTGAGTTGAATCTTCGAATTTTAATGTGGGTTCCGGTCAATAGGATTTTAATAGATGGACCGGCAATTAGATGTCTCCGTGTGGGTAATTGTGATTTTGGGCGCATCACCTTTCCAATTGATATGACCTCCTTAGTCGAGGTGGACATCTGCTTTAGAGAATGGTATTCGTGGGAGATTGAAAACAATGAGGTCAAAACCTTTACCGGTGTTTTCAATCCTAGTAACCGAAAAAGGGGCAAACACAATATGATCAAGTTTTTTAATTGATTGCACCATTGGTCCACTAACTTTCACCTAGTTGCACTTTCGTCCTTTATTTGTTTTCGGTTTATAAATGGTACACTAACTTTTTTTTTTGGCAGCGTTGGTCCAAAATCACATTCCGGTGACATTTTGCTGATGTGGCTCCCGGAGCAGCTCATGACACGTCAGGAGGTGACGAGGAATTTCGGGAGCCACATCAGCAAAACGGGAGCCACATCAGCAAAATGTCACCGGAATGTGATTTTGGACCAACGCTGCCAAAAAAAAAAAGTTAGTGTACCATTTATAGACCGGAAACAAATAAATTACGAAAGTGCAACTAGGTGAAAGTTAGTGGACCAATGGTGCAATTTTTCCCGTCAAATTAGGTGCTTAAAGATATCAAGCTGTGAATACCTGAAGGTATGTTGTGATTTTTCATCTCATTCTCTGTTAAAGCGTGCCATCTTGTTCCAATTAAGTTGATTTTTTCTTTTGCAGGTTATTGACAGAGTTGTTGGTTCTATTGGAAAGTTTAATAATCTAACCAAACTTGAACTCCAAGTGGGTGTTGAATGGCATTTGCTTGTAGCGTTTCTGGAAGTTGCTGATAATCTTGAAGTCCTTATTGTAAGTGGAGTTTGCCAATCCATTGAAATTTGTCTTTAGCTGTTTCGCTCTTCTTACTTCAATATCTTCCTTCTTTTTGCTGTCATCAGGCTGATGTAGAAATTCATAATTCCTGTATGGAGCCGAAACAAGTGCCTAAATGCCTACAATCGTCTCTCAAAACTATAACAATTAAGCAACAAGGTTTTGAAGAGCATGAACTTGACCTGGTGCGTTATCTTTTGAGGAATTCTCAAGTACTTGAGAGAATGGAAATATTACCTCGAAAAGATAGATCAACGTCGACTTCCGAAAACGTTTTCAAGGCAGCATTCAAAGCGCTTCAGAGAATTGCATTGTTTGAGCGAGGATCCAAGGCATGCCAGCTTGCCTTCTTTTCAGATTGTTTAGTGATTCGACTGAATAGTGATCTTAGGTTATTATTCTTAATATCAATATTTAACATCTGAATGTTCCTTTGGTGTTGTATTAACTCTTTTTCACTTATGACAAGACTGAATTTGTATGATTCCATAAGTATGATATGCAAGTGCATCGAACTTACATTTGTGCCTAAGAGTCGAGAGAATGGTGGTGTATATATAGAATGCATTTAGTATGGTGGGTTATCTTTTGAGGAGTGGCCGAGTGATCGATGACATTTTATAGTATAAATATATATATTTTTGTTCGAAAAGTATGATGGGCCGAGCAGTAAAGGTTAGACACTCACAAGAATTTGTGTTTTAAATATTCATACTCCATATGCATGCATGTACACATCATCACTGTCTTTTGTTAGATTAGTCTTAATCCATTTATGTACACATCATCACTATGTCTTTTGTTTAATCCATTCAGTCGACGAACTTATTTTATAAATATGCATAATTTAATTTAGAAAATATCCTAATCTAAAAAACAACATAAACGACAATATTAATTTGCATATTTAAGTACATGTTTTTATTCATCTAGCATAATGGATTGACCAGAAAAATAATTAGACTACCTAACGCAAGAATTCGTGACTAGGTATGGTCAATGTTCTACCCGGCTCGACCTGTCCCGTCGGACTCAACCCATTTGTCAATGGTTAAAAATATTAAACTTTACACATAATTCGACAACGCCTCTCTCAACAACTTGCAAAAGATTTTCAACTTTAGAACCACATAGTGCAATTACGAGCCGAGCGGCTCTTGCCAAGAGCCAATGGCATGACGAAATGTAATAACATACCTCATTAGAATTTGTAATCACACGACAATTTGTAGCAAAAAACGGTGGATGATGTTCGATCAAGGAGAATGTTTTATCGAAATCGAAACAGGGGACACGGGTCGAGTGGGATCTCCACCTACAAGCCAGAATGTTATGGAGCTTATGGTGTGCTTTACTCGATTATCTAAGAACTCGAGTGAGATGGAGTGCACTGCTGTTCACGAGCTGATATTGTTATACCAATGTATGAGATCTTCTTCTTATATACCAAAGTTAGAGTTGTTAAACTTCCTAACTTGTGTGCAGGAAACATTATTTTGAAAGACATTATGTTCACTTTACCACAAACATTAGGGAAGTTGAAAGAACAAAACCAGAAGACATTCATTTTTCGAAATGAAACAAAAACTGAGTCTCTCCCTAATTTGATTATCAGGTACCGGCATCTTTATCCATTAACAACCAAATTGCACTGAAAATGGATTACTTGATTATGCTCTTCTGCAATTTTTCACCAAAAAGAAACTTCAGAACAGTGTGTAATAAGAGAGAGAGAAAAAAAACACCCCGACTTTTTTAGTTTTTTTAGGTCTCATTGTAAAAGAGTACCAATCATAGGCCTTGGCTTAGAGTTGTGAAACGAGCTATTCGTGAGTTCGGTTCATGTATCACCTGAGCTCGTGTAAAGATCAAATTCGCTAACACACGCTAAAATGTTGGAACTTCTGCTGCCGACGAAAAGGAAAAAAAAAAAATGATAATTATGCTAGTACATAATACTTTCTACATATACAGTCTCTCGGGTAAATAAGGTCTAATTGAAAATTTTTATTTTCATATGTCACACTCCATGTTCGTGTGCAAATTATGTATATTTTCATATTTTGCATACCATGGAGATTAATACTTTTCAGATACTATAATATTTAATATTCTTTCATGTTATGGAAAAGTAATTTTCAACAAGACTTTACATTACAACAGTACTTGAGAACATTTATTTTAATTTAATCTTTTTTTCAAGTCGTCTTTTCAATTCATCTGATCGATTGTCATGAACTGGAGTTTTTGGGGAGCTCAAAAACCATCAGACCCGAGCGGAGCGGACCGGATCCGATCCGAATCGCAAGAGTCTTCTCTTCCCCTGAGCCTGAAGTTGGAGGGTCAGTTTCATCAGGCATGTCAACTCAACTTTAAATGCCACTCCTGTTCTTATCTTTCTATCTCACCTTTTAATATTCCGACTCCTCGTTTTTACAAGCTAACCCTACAATTTTAATGGTCTGATTTTTCAAGTGCTTTTGCCCAATTTTCATATTCCAAATCACTCATGGTTTTGGTTTGAAGCACTTAGATCGATAGGCTCAGCAGCTTGCCTGAGAGATAACAAAACAAATGAGTGGAATCAGTCGTGAGCTTTCAATCGATAGGCTGAGCAGCTTGCCTGATGAAGTCATATGCCACATTCTCTCCTTCCTCGACACAGAGGTCTCTGTGTCAACCTTCATTCTCGCGAAAAGATGGAGGTTTTTGTGGGCCCACGTCCCCGTTTTGGATTTCCAAGCAGATTTTTTCGAAACACCAAATTCAGACGTGATCAACAGTGTTATTCTGCAGCACAAGGCGAAAACAATGCATACTCTTCGGATCAGCGGTATAGAGTGCAATGAGCATCAACTGGAGAAATGGATCTCAACTGCCGTCGAACGAAAAATCCGGAATCTTCATATCGATTTCGACGTTAACAGTATTGCTTTGTTGCATCGAACCCTCTTCACCTGCAAAACCGTGGTCAACATGAGGCTCGATTTATTTAAAGACTTGCCTTCAACTGGGGACTTGTGTTTGCCTAGCCTCAAGAAACTTCATCTTTCCCATGTTAAGTTTGAGGATGATGAAGCCCTTCCGCACTTGCTTTCCGGATGTCCTTTGCTCCAGGAGTTGATCCTTGATTACATGAATGACCAGTTTGGTTATATTGAATATGATCTGAGATACATTAATATATCATCGTCTACGCTCAAACTGCTTGAGGTGAAAATGTCGGAGGCGAATGATCTAATATATAGGATTGTGATAGATGCACCGGCACTTAGATGTCTCTGTACGGATTGCGATTTGGGGCGCATCACAATTCTAAAAGATATGGTCTCCTTAGTTGAGGCGGAGATCCGTTTTGATTATTGTCATGACATCTTTGACATTGATAACAATGAGAGCTCCAATGTGGTGCATTGTTTTAATCGTTTGCGCAACATCAATTGCCTAAAGATATCAAGCTGTGAATACCTCAAGGTATTTTGTCATTTATCTCTCATCTTATTATCTCTTCAAGCATTTCTTCTTGTTCTTGAGCTGATTTTTCTTTTGCAGATTATTGGCGGCATTGTTGGTCCAATCATAAAGTTTAATAACTTAATCAAACTTGAACTGCGACTGGGTGTTGAATGGCATTTGCTTGTGGAATTTCTTCAAGTTGCCGATAATCTTGAAGTCCTTATTGTAACTAGAGTTTGTCGATGCGTTGTTGTTTACCGTAATGTAGAAATTCGTAATTCTTGCATGGAGCCGAAACAAGTGCCTAAATGCCTACTATCGTCTCTTAGAACTATAACAATTAAGCAACCAAGTTTTGAAGACTATGAACTTGATCTGGTGCGTTATCTTTTGAGGAATTCTCAAGTACTTGAGAGAATGGAAATACTACATCCGAAATATAGATCAACTTCGATGTCAAATCATTTTCTTGAAGCGCTTCAGAGAATTGAATTGTTTGAGCGAGGATCCAAGGCATGTCAGCTTGTGAGTGAATATTGGACTGAACAGGTTAATGGGCTGTAATCTTAGGTTAATATCATTTTAATCAGTTGAGTTTCTTGTGTTTGTGCCCAACCTGAATTTGCACGCTATTTGTATCTCAATTTTATTTAATCATATGTTTGTGAAAGTTGCTTTCATGTTTGAACTGTATTGGGAAGCTTATGCCGTTCCTAGACAAATACTTGATGAGAATGGAAATGCGCAAATGTTCAGCTAAATGCAATATGGGACAAAGGGAGTCCAGGAATTGCTTCAGGGTTTTCTAAAAAGAACTAAGTTGTTCTTTGTTCTGAAAAAATCCTATGTTTCAACAAATAAACCCAACTCAACTCTAACCTTAGTGGGTTATTGGCTAAGCATGCCATTAACTTGTCATTTATCGAAAGTTTTGAAGATTAAAAATTGAAGGACAAAAATTGAATGTTGAAACATTCAAAATATTTATGTTTTGAGGGAGTGCAAGGAGTCATAATTGATTAGGTCATTTTTATGTTTCAGTTTTCAGTTATGAATCCTTGTCATCTGTCTCTGTTCCTATCTAGTTCTTTTTCTGGTATGCAGTTTTAGCTTTAGGTTTCGAGGGGTTGTCCTCGCCTATAGCTTCAGTTCGTTTTTTTATTTGTATTTAGGGCACCGTCTGTGGTGTATCCTCCAGTTATTTGGGTTTGTTTTATGGACTAGTGGGTCCAGCGATTTGTAGAACATCTTTATGGTTGATTATATGAGAATTTCTGCCGTTTCGAAAAAAAAAAACATTCAAAATATTTAGTTTTGCATATTCTTGTATAATTTTATTTTAGCTATATTAATTAAACAAAACAAATAAAGTTGCCACATGGCATTGTTTGTCGCATCCTCTCTTTCTTTCGAGACAAATCTCTCTTTCTCAAGAGACAAATCTTATTTCGCCCTATGGATACAGTGCACCGAAAAGTGGAAGTCTATGAGTGAGGAGGAGAAGGCTCGTTTTGTTGCCGAGGCTGAAAGGCACAATGCAATGCCGATTATGAGCAGCAACTTGAAGCATGTGAACAGGCTGAATTGGTGTTGGTGTTGAGGTGAAGTCGTAGGTGAAAGAAGAGTCGTTAGTACCTTAATTGTGATCTATGGAGTAAATATGAACGAGTATATGTGGTTATGCATTGAGATATGGAACTAAACATGTTTTTCTGTTTTTTCTTGNTTTTTTTTTTTTTTTGTGTATATAATCATGTCTATATATATATAGTGTTTGTTTTATGAGGGCTGCTGTTGAAGCTCATATGATTGTTTAGTAGACTAGTAACTTCTAACTAATAACGTTAATGGTTAGTTTTAAGTTTTAACAAATGGCTGGAGCCACAAAGGACTATCAACTATCGAAATTGATTCGTTTATGCCGATAAGCTCCAATTGCATCGTAGGAATTTTAAACAAAAAAAAAAAAAAAAAA